GCCGACCCAACTACACCACCACGCGCATGCCTCGCGGCGGATATGCGCAGCAGCAAGAAGGTTTCGGTCATCCCTTGAGGGTGAGTCTAGCCCTGCTCGCCAGAAAGACCCCCCCCTTCACTACAACCCATGTCTAAGCAAAAGCTTGTCGAGGAGCGAGGGGAAGAAGGGAGAAGGACACTGCGGCAGTATGATTACTCCTGTTAAGAGTAACATCACCTCCTACAACTCGCGAAAATTCTTGCAAATAATCCGCTCTTTCCCCCGGTTTAAGGGATACCTTGGGAGGAGGAAACACCTTATCGCGCGTGATTCTGGCGGCAAGTTTTTCCTGATTATTATTCAACGCGAAAATGTTGTCTTCATTAGTCTCATGTGAAATAAAATCTTGACTGTTTTCTGCAGAATCATCACCAATATTAGGTTCAACTATTGGTGGCAGGGTACCTGCTGAGTTCCCAGCACTTGCACTTCTGCTGTACTGATCAACTCTCCCTTTGGTTTGCGCTTCGCATTCGTCTATGCTATCGTGAGCCAAACCATTTCGCGCAGAATCAACGCCAACACTTGCCTTTAGTGTTGCCGTGCGGGAACCTGCTGAGCCGGCAGTACGTGGCGTTCCTCGACCCAGGAATCCAGTCACCTTCGACGACTGCCTTGCTCGCCCCATAGAAAAACCTCCCCGAGTGTGAACATGACCTGTGGGGGGTATACTCTTTACCTGATCTAACGAAGGGGGTCCACTCACAACCCCTGTAGCTAAAGACAGTGACGACTTGTGCATTTTCTCTTTGTCTGCTACACTCGAAACATCCGGACCTTGCGTTCTTGTGGAAGTTTCGCTTCGAACCGTTGAGTTAGTCGGGGGCCTATTCCGATCAACTACACTATTCGGACGGTCAACCCCCGCGATGGAAGTTGTGCACTCCAATGTATCGGTTTGTGTACTCGGGTCTGGACAGGGGTAATTACTTCCTGTCTCTGGGAGCTCGAGTGGTACAACTTCAACACCATTGATACCGTTTGAGGCCGTCTCTTCATCGAGCCTGTTATCATGACTCGTGGCGTGCAACACGGACTTGATCTTTTTGTATTGTTTTTTCTGTAGAGTTGTATTGTTTCCTCCCACATTTGCCACACCTAAAGTCACACGCACATCTTGAGACACATAGTGATTTGGTGGCCGCTCTGCCTCCAACAAACGGGCCGGTTTGTTGTCGGGCCGTCATCCTTGATGACCCCTAGAAAACTTTTTCTTTCGCTGCGTTTCCGCCCACGACGTCAAACGTTGTTGCCATTTCCGCCAATTTTGTTCGACTGTGGCAGGGTCACCGATGGCGATGTCCGGATGTATCAATCCCGAGACATTCAGGAGTTTTTCTTTGCATTCACGCGCAAAGTGAAAGGGGGACTCTACCCCACAGTTAAGACACCTAGGTCCAAAGTCGCGCCGAGCTTTGTACCGTTCTTGTGGACTCGCAAACTGAACATAGAACGGAGGCTCGTCATTATTTGGGCCAAACCCTCTTTGTTGTAACACTTGGTTCACTTGACAAAATTCTCGTGTCTCATCGTCAAATTGTGCTACGGACATGACAACATGTCGCGACCCTACTGTTCCGGGCAAAGACTGGGAGGAAACATTCTGCTTCGTACCCGAATAGGAACCACCTCCCTATCGACCCCGCGTCCCACCCGACGCAACAACGGGTCCCCGAGCCACAGCAGACCCCACGCTCCGCACGCGCGTGGACGAAGTGGCTGTAGTCGTATTTTCAATCATGTCTTCTAGAGCTGCCATCAGGTCGTCTTANAAGACTGGGAGGAAACATTCTGCTTCGTACCCGAATAGGAACCACCTCCCTATCGACCCCGCGTCCCACCCGACGCAACAACGGGTCCCCGAGCCACAGCAGACCCCACGCTCCGCACGCGCGTGGACGAAGTGGCTGTAGTCGTATTTTCAATCATGTCTTCTAGAGCTGCCATCAGGTCGTCTTACTTATCGTACGGCAGAGCTTGCGTGTTTCTACCATGAAACACCGGAGCGGTCAAAGTAGCAAACTGGTCTGTCACGCCAGCTTTCACAGCTACTTGCAAAGTACCGTCCTCAGCAAACACAACCAGTTGAACGCATTCAACTAGCACCTTGAGCTCTTCAAGGTACGCCTTGAAGGTGGTGCCAACTGGAACCGCGAAATTCTGCAGCTGCTGCAGCACCAACGCCGACGTCACGTCGCTCAGTCCACCACAGACCGACCGCAAGACCATCGTCAGGGCGTCAGGACCACTGGTCCTCGCGTCCATTGCCCGTCTCGCTTGTGTGATAGCTGCCACTAGAATCTGCTTGGTGTGGGCAGAATCAGGGTGGTTTTTCCGGACCGCATGAATCAGATGTCGTTCGAGCACATTTTCCCACCCTCGGACCCAATGATCCTGGGAAAACTCTTGCGCGCTCACACGAATCTGATCTACCGACTTCGTAATGGCAGTCGATAGTTGGACGAGTTCGACCACATCATTTTCGTTCTGCAGCGGCAAGAGCGGCATAACTATTAAGTTTTTAATAGCCATTACCGCGAAACGACCCTGAATTTTTCGCTCTGAATCTACGTCGCGTGTCGGAGAAAGTGCAACAGGCAAGGACCCCTCTGTCCGTCCCGTCCCCGGGGGCAATTCCTCCTTAGGCCGGAGGGCTTCGGTTTTCACTGGCTCGGACTTAACCGCTTCAGGTTTAACGTCCGATCGCACACCAGATGTCACTTCAGATTTAACCGCGGACAACGGCACACGCGGTTTGGATGTCTCTGGCTTCACGTAAGTAAACGAGTCTAGGCCAACTTCGTCTACAGGCGTAGCAGGCGCAACAGCCTTTGCGGAATCGACACACACCGGAGGCACTGCAACAGGTTTACGCAAAACCGGCACGGCCTCAAGGGACACCTGACCGTGTTTCCCGACGAAACGAGCCTCCTCGTCGTCGCTACCGCTACCACTATCGGTTTCATACCTGCCACGTCCGCCACCACGGCCTCCACGTCCTCGAGAGCCACGCGCGCGGCCGCCAAACCCGCGGCCATGCCCGTCCGAGTCCCCGCTCCCACCGGAATGCTGGTGAACAGTCCGCTCTTTGCCCGAGCAGTAACGTCCACCGCCACGGCCATAGCGCTGTCCGCGACCACCACCGCGGTACTCGCCGGCAGAGTCCGACGCAGACCACCCGTCACTGGAGTCCCCACCCCGGTAATGCTTCCTGCCGGAGCGTCCGCGGGCACCTCCACCACGATCGCCATGACCGGCCCGTCCACCGTGACTGCCACGGCGACTCCCACCTCCGCGGCGGTACTCGCCGTCCTCCGATCCGCTGGACGGCGTGCAGTCCTTGCGCTTTTTCGTCGCGAGCGCCACCGCCATGGCTTGGTCAAACGTGAAGCCGGACCCCTGTGCCATGATGGTAGCGACTTCCCTGGCGAGAGACACCGAGTCGCCGGTTTCCTCGCGGGCCGGTGCGGCAGCGCTCCCCGACACGGGAGGCACAGACAACTCCCGCGCGGGACCCGTACCGACCGGGCTCCTCGATTGCAATCGGGCTCACTCTCCCGTCTTCGGGGGTAGCGATTTTCTCGGCGGCCTCAGCCCCGCTGCGCGGTACCCTAGCGGTACGTCGCGCGTACCGACAGTCGCGCGTATCGACTGTCTGCCGGTTTGCAGACGACCCCAACCGTGGACACTCGACGCACAAGCAAGCTAGATAAAGCTTGAAGCCGACGACGCCACTGTGGAGCGAACTGGTACTCTGGGGTACTGGTTCTGCCTCTTCCTTACTAACAGGCTCAACCCTGTCAGAAGTGCATGCGCTTGTGTTCAAGCGTCTTGTGTTCGGCACGGTTGTTTTTGGGTGTCTTATTATTGACTCTCGGCAATCTTGCAATCAGCTCTGTACGGCGAGACTGAGGGCAAAGCTTTATGAGTGATTCATGTGCGAGGCTTAACGGAGCCAAGCTTCCGGACGGATCCAACTGCAACCAAGCGTTACAAACAGTCACACGTCAGTCCGTGGTCTGCGATTCTCCTACTACACAACCATCTGATTGGTTGCCTTAATCCAATGAAATGCACAAACACATGCTACTGGCTAACTCTCATAATCCTGGGTCTACGCTGGTTATTGCCTGGGCCCTAGGTCCGATGCATCCAGCTGGCTACATCAGCCCTAGGTCTACGCTGCTTGGTTGGTCGGTCCAGTCGTCTAGACACTCAGAATTGTGTCGACCGTTTCAGATAATAACCAATAACGCCCCAAGAACTAGACTGGAATTCGGTCCAGTCGTCTAGACACTCAGAATTGTGTCGACCGTTTCAGATAGTAACCAATAACGCCCCACGAACTAGACTGAAACCCATTCTCACCACACGCATGTTTCATGAAACTACTTGTTTTGAGGGGCGTGCGCGGGGGGGGGGGGGCAGGGGTCATGTCCCCGATTCTGAAATGCGGGATATTCCGGGTCTCCACTCCGCCGCAAACGCTGCTGGTACTGCTGCTGCTGTGATACATGTTTCGTGTGTCCTCGCCCTCGAAAACACGGGAAGTCATGATGCCCCTCCGCCAGTGCCGCTCGTTTGAGAATGATGATAAGGGCGTTCTCCGACCGCCGCCGCCGACATGTTAACAGGTCGTGAGCTCCGCAACTCCCTGCACCACGGCGTGGGAAGAGGTTGGGCTGTCCGCCCTGCGCACGAGCCTGGATGAACAGGCGCTGGCCGTGGCGGAGCACCAGGAGTCGTCTCTCGAGAGCCGCCGTGCGATCGCGGCTCAGGCCAAAGCGTTCCGACTATCCGTCGAAGCTGAGGTCGGCGCCACCTCCGACATGCGTGCTGCAAGCGGAGCGCTGGTGAGGGTCGGTCGGGTTGCCCGCCTGGCTGTGCGTGTGCGTGTCTGTGTCCGTGTCCGTGTCCGTGTCCGATGCTGCGTGTACACCATCGTGTGCCGTTTATCGTAACGGAACGATACAAAATTAGCCGTAAAAATGATGTTCACCATAGTGCGCCATCTTTGTCGGCATGTCGGTTGCTGCAAAACAGAAAATTATCGCACCAATAGCTGCTGGCGAAGGAGGCTTGACTTGACCCCCGTGATGGCCCTGACTTGCGGTCAGCGTTGAACGTAAATGTATGCCTTGGCAGGAACGCAGTAAAGCTCATTTGATCGACTGAGGGATGCACACCTCCAAGTGCCCCCCCACCCCCATCCGGAGGCTGACCTCTCGCTGTGCATGATCGGACCAATCTCAAACGCAACAATTGCGCACGAACAGGTGCGTGCGTTCAAGAGCGAGATCGATGCGCTGACCGATAGGAGCCGTTTCGCCGAGGGGTCGTTCTTAGCCCTTTACAAGCTGCTTCGGGAAGCTCCCGACCCGGCGATCACCGTGAAGGCCTTGGAGAACGCGGCTCGCGCTACTGTCGATGCTCTGGAAGGAAAGATCAGGTGAGTGATGTTTTCTGTAGGTGGCGGGACTGCCATTTGTATAGATGGGGTGTCCTCCACCGCTGCGTGAACAGACACAATCGATCGTGTCATCACAGCAACACAGCTACCGGGAACAAGCTGGTGTTTTTGTGCAAATCTCTCCCCCTTCTTTCTTGTCTCTTTTTCTCTTCTCGAAGATCGTCACTGATTCTTCCGGCGTGAAGAGGCGAGTCTTGCACGTGCGCCTCAGACGCAACGCTGTCCACCGTCGTGTCGTGTGCCGCTGCTGTACCTCTCGCTGCCCGTGCACACCCTTGACTACAAACAAGTCCATCACACAGCAATCCCCAAGATATGGAAACCAATACAAGTGATCCCTCCGGAGTGAGCTCATGCGAGCACAGCATTGTCATCAAGGGGTGAATGCAAGTAAAAGCAGGGAGCAGGACCAACCCACAGCTGGTCGCCAGCTGCGTTGTGACGTTTCCCAAGCTCGATAGCTGATGTGGTTTTGAATCGAAGCCCAGCGCACCTGAACGAACTATCATTACAAACCTGTCATTTGTAAAATGGGTGCTACACATCACGTGACTGGCCTCTCCGTGTGTGATGATGTATTCATGTATTCTACCTTTTGGTAAGGTTTCTGGAAGAGCGAAGCGTTGAGCAGTCTCGCCAGCTGGACGCCGCACGAGCAGCCGTCGCTGCGCGAGGCGGTTCTCTCACCGCGGAGGTGCGTGTGCGTGGAGGCCTGCCTACCATTTGTTGCGTCAGGATTGGTCCATCTCTTCTGTACACGCCGCCATTGGAATGGCTTGCGTTTTTTCGCCATTTCGCTCTCGTCTTTTGCTGTTGCGTTCTCGTCGGGGGGGCTGGTTGTCTTAGTCGGCGACGGTTTCATGGGTGTTCCACCAAGGAGGAGGCTGCGTAACACCAAGGAACGGATGACGGCAAAACGATGAGGTGTAGACTATGCCGCGGGCGAGATCCCCTCCCCCCCCTTGTTGTTTCTATTGTTGATTCGAGAGTGCTGCGAGTTTTTCTACTACTATCTTTGGTGTAACGTGCGCTGCGACAACGTTGCCACCGACTTGGCAGTATAGTACAGGTAAGAGATGAGACTCTTGTTCCGTACTTGCTCGGGAGCAAGTTTGTTGAAGGCCCATTATCACGGTGTGTTGACGAATTTCCCCCCCCCCCC